CTGTGCCGGACGGGCTGTTTGGGGCAGGGCTGGTATTGCAGCGGTGCCATGCAGGGGGTGAGCAGCCCTGTGCCGGACGGGCTGTTTGGGGCAGGGTTTCTATTGCAGCGGTGCCATGCTTGATGCTATATGGACCAGTAGGAAGATATGGTGTCTGCACTTGAGAGCTCACACTAGGGATGGGACATGTGGAGGAGCTGGGGGTGATTGTTAGTGCCATGTTTTACCCGGTGTATGGGATCTTTTCCCGGTGGCCCGTGGACCTGCCCATCTCCCGCCCCCATGGCAGATGGGGACTCCTGGGGGGATCTGAACGGGGAGAAGGGAGTGGCTTACAGGCCAATTCGTGGGCAGCCGCTGGCCTATCCACTGGTGTGCATTAATGCACTCTGCTTGGAGGAATGGCTGCCCGCCTCCTGTGTGTCATGGGCCCTGCACTGCCAATGGCTGAGGGAGGCTCTGGTGGGCATTTGGAGCCGGCTGCCAGCGCCGCGAGGCTCTGGGTGGCTGTGGGGGGCAACACAGTGACCCTGTGAAGTCTGAGATGGCTGCAGATTTGTGAAAGGCCCAACCTAGTGCTTGCCCGGCAGCAGGACCACGTCTGTTCCCTGGCACAGGGCACCCCCACCTGGCCCCAGAGCTGACGCCACCCAGGTCAGGCAAATAACCAGAGTGAATTTTTAAAAGTGTCAGCACAGCCCCATTGGCCTTTTCAGAGGCTGCGGATCCCCCGTGCCAGCCACTCAGCCCTGCATGGTGGGGCGGGGGCAGGGATGGAGGGGGGATGCCCCGTGCCTGCCGGCCAGCCCTGCATGGTGGGGCAGGAGCAGGGATGGAGGGGGGATGCCCCGTGCCTGCTGGCCAGCTCTGCATTGTGGGGAGGAGTAGAGGGGGATCCCCCGTGTCTGGCCAGCCCTGTGTGGCAGGGGAGGGATAGGAGGGTCCCTCGTGCCAGCCAGCCAGCCCTGCATGGTGGGGGGTAGGACAGGCTGGCTCCCTGATGCCAGCTGCCCCCATGTGGCCGGGGAAGGCCGGAGCAGGGCGGGGAGATCTGTGCAGTGGCTGAACTGAGTGTTGGCGTTTGCAGAATCCACAAACACATCAGAGCTGAGGATCTGCCGGATGAACAAGGAGTGCGGGCCCTGCACGGGCGGGGAGGAGCTCTACCTGCTCTGCGACAAAGTCCAGAAAGGTAACGGAGGGGAAGGGGGTTGGCGCTGCAGCTCCATAGGACTGGGGAGGAGGGAGTGGGTCAGCTAGAATGGGGGGGGAGGAGGCATGGAGCTCTGGTAGAAGGGGAAGGGGTTGGGGGGTCAGATGGGCTAGTTCTGGAGCCCTGCTAGACTGAGAGGCCAGGGGAGGTGATGGTGTGGGGCCTGTGGAGGGCACGTGCTCACTCAGAATTCTGTAGAGCTCAAGGCCAGGAGGACCCATTAGATTAGCCAGTCTGACCCAGCATCGCACAGGCCATTGCATTGCACGGAACTGCCCTGTGCTGAGCCCAAGGACATAGTTACACCAAAGGGTTTCAGTCCTCGGACACTGCGCTGCTGAGAGCCACGGGCAGAGGACTGGAGAGACCCAGGTGTCCCCAGTGGCCAGGCCCCTGCCACAGCAGAGAGTTGATTAGATGAGACATGGCCAGCTGATCTACACCCGTCAGCCGGGAAAGGTGAAATGCCCCAAGGTCCCGTCAGTCTGACCTGGGGGGAGGATTCCTGCCCTGCTCCAAACCTGGAGGTCAGCGTGACCCTGAGCAAGTGCATGAGACCCAGCAGCCAGACAAGTAGGCAGGGAATTCTCTGTGCTACCATACTGTGTGGGCCTGGGGTCTCCCCCCGTTGCAGCTGGATCTGGGTCCCAATCTGTCCCCAGCTCCTCCCACCCAACCCAGTCTTCTGGGGCACCCCCTTCCCTGCCAGTCACCCAGTCAGCTCCCCAACCCTCACCCCACGTCCCCCGCAGAGGACATTGCTGTGGTCTTCCGGAGGGACGCGTGGGAGAGCAAGGCGGACTTCTCGCAGGCCGACGTGCACCGGCAGATAGCCATCGTCTTCAAGACACCCCCGTACCAGCACCTGGACATCCTGGAGCCGGTGGAGGTGGAGGTGTATTTGCAGCGCCTGACAGACAGTGTCTGCAGCGAGCCTTTTCACTTCACCTACCTGCCCAAGGACCATGGTAATCGCCACCCCACAAAGCCCTTCACAGCCCCTTGGGGAAAGGGGAGGTCAGGGCAGGGCCCAGAGCAGCCCCTCAGGGGAAGGGGGGTCTGGGGAGCCCAGAGCAGTCCCCGCCAGACACAGCCCGTCATGGGTAGAGGGGTCGGGGGACCCAGTGAAGCCCCTGCCAGTCACAGCTCCTGCGGGGGCAGGGGGAGGACTCAGAGCAGCCCCCACTGGTCACAGTCCCTTGGGGAGAGGGGAGGGCCCAGAGCAGCTCCCACCGGTCACAGCCCCTCGGGGTTAGGGAGGGTCAGAGGGGCCCAGCACAGCCCCTGCCAATCACAAAACTGGGTGACTGGGCAACAAAATGGCAGATGAAATTGAATGTTGATAAATGCAAAGTAATGCACATTGGAGAGCATAATCCCAACTATACATATACAATGATGGGCTCTAAATTAGCTGTTACCACTCAAGAAGGAGATCTTGGAGTCATTGTGGATGGTTCTCTGAAATCATCCACTCAGTGTGCAGCGGTGGTCAAAAAAACAAACAATGTTGGGAATCATCAAGAAAGGGATAGATAATAAGACAGAAAATATCACGTTGCCTCTATATAAATCCATGGTACGCCCACACCTTGAATACTGCATGCAGATGTGGTCGCTCCATCTCAAAAGAGATGTACAGTATTGGAATTGGAAAAGGTTCTGAAAAGGGCAACAAAAATGATTAGGGGTATAGAATGGCTTCTGTATGAGGAGAGATTAATAAGACTGGGACTTTTCAGCTTGGAAAAGAGGTGACTAAGGAGGGATATGATAGAGATCTATAAAATCATGAGTGGTATAGAGAAAGTAAATAAGGAAGTATCAGAGGGGTATCCGTGTTAGTCTGAATCTAGTAAAAAGCAACAGAGGGTCCTGTGGCACCTTTGAGACTAACAGAATAAGGAAGTGTTATTTACTCCTTCTCATAATACAAGAACAAGGGGCCACCAAATGAAATTAATAGGTAGCAGGTTTAAAACAAATACAAGAAAGTATTTTGTTCATGCAATGCACTGTCAACCTCTGGAACTCCTTGCCAGAGGGTGTTATGAAGGCCAATACTATAACAGGGTTCAAAAGGGAGCTAGATAGATTCATGGAGGATAGGTCCATCAATGGCTATTAACCAGGATGGGCAGGAATGGTGTCCCTAGCCTCTGTTTGCCCGAAGCTGGGATTGGGTGACAGGGCATGGATCACTTGATAACCTGTCTGTTCATTCCCTTTGGGGCACCTGCCATTGGCCACTGTCAGAGGACAGGATACTGGGCTTGATCGACCTTTGGTCTGACCCAGTATGGCCGTTCTTATGTTCTTATAGCCCTGTTGGTGGGGAAAGGGGGTCATGGGACCCCAGAGCAGCTTCTGCTGGTCACAGCCCCTGGGGGGGACGGACACCAGAGCAGCCCCCACCAATCACAGCCTTGTTGGGAGGGAGGGGGAACATGAGGACCCAGAGCAACCACCGCCAGTCACAGCCCCGTTGCGGGGGAGGGGGGTCACGGGGGCCAGAGTAGCCCCTGACGCACACAGCCCCTCAGGGAAAAGTGGTCAGGGCCCCCCAGAGCAGCCGTTTCTGGTTATAGCCCTCTGGAGAGGGTCGGGGGGCCCAGAGCATCCCCCACTGGTCACAGCTCCTCAGAGAAAGGGAGGCCGGGGGGGCCCAGAGCAGCCCCTACTGGTCACAGCCCCACAGGGTGCAGCAGGGCACGTGCCCAGCTGGTGCCAGGCAGGTTTTGGGAGCCCTTGGGCAGAGGTCTGTGGCAATTTCCCATGCTTCAGGCCGTGCCCTCCTCTGCCTCAATCTCTGCAGACGCATATGGGGTGCATGTGAAGAGGAAGCGGGGGATGCCGGACGTCCTGGAGGAGCTCTCAGCATCAGGTGAGTGTGAAGGCCTCACACCAGGGCAGGCTGGGGGGCTACGGGATCGGGCTGGCCTGGCCATGGCCCTTGCAAGAAGCTCTTGGCTCCTGGGCCGGTTCTGCCCATGCCAGGGATGACTGATGACTCCAGCCGGGGCACTGGAGTTTCCGGTGGGATGGGATGAGAGGCTAGATTCTCAGCTCTGCCTCTGGCCGGCACGGGAGTCACTCCCCTCGGTGTGCTCCCATCTGCAGAACGGCACCAGCGATCTGACTCCTTGGCAGAACACTTGAAAAGGTGGGTTTTATTGCCTGCCACGCAATGAGCGGATCAGTGAGGGTGGCTGCTGCCCCCACCCCGGCTCAGTATGAAGTCCTGATCCCCCACATACACCCCTACTTGATGTGTAGGCCTGATCCCCCCACTCAGTGTGATGGCCGATCTACCCCATCCAGACAGCCCAGCATAACAGCTGATCTCCTCCCATCCACACCGCTCAGCGTGACGCCCTGATCCCCACCCCCATCCACACCGCTCAGCGTGACGCCCTGATCCCCACCCCATCCACACCGCTCAGCGTGACGCCCTGATCCCCACCCCCATCCACACCGCTCAGCGTGACGCCCTGATCCCCCCCGTCCACACCGCTCAGCGTGACGGCCGATC